AGTCTATAGCCTTTAACCCCTTCCCTATGGCCCAAAAAAAAAAAAAACACACTTAAGGGCTCTAGATTCTAATTTACCTTCAATTTGATGTGCAAATGCTGCACATCCAAAAAACCCTCAAGTTACTGAAGTCTACAGGTTTCCTTTTCCATTTTTCTTCAGGGGTCTTAAAGTCTATAGAACTAGAAAGGCATCTGTTTATAAGATAACTAGCAGTTTTAACAGTTTCATCCCAAAAAATTCTAGGTAGACCAAAACTTAGGCAGTGTTTGATATGCCTCATTTTCCTAAGGAAAAGGAAAATGTTTTCCTTTTCTCACTTTTTACACCGTTTGATTGCCAAACTTTTGCCCGGAAAATGTTTTACACCCTCCCTCCTCACGCGCCTCATTTCTAGGTTGTAGAGAAATTTTTTTTCTTGCTTATTTGGTGGTTTTATGTTTTCCAAGTTTTTTTTTTTGGCAATTGGAAAATATTCTAAACACAATGGTAAAAAAAACTATCACTTTTATTGACAATTTTCATGTAAAACAAAGCCAAATGAATGATGTTCAGTATGGTTTCCCAATGGTAGAAATAACTGTCACATTAGTGAACAATTTCCATAAAAAACGAAGTCAAACGAATACCAAACTTTCAACATTTTCAGGTGAAAAATTATACAAATCAAACACAATTAATTACAATTCACAGTAAAATAATTTCTAAACAATTCAATTCCATGTAAAGTATTTTCTTTCCACCCATTTTCCACTTTTACAATCAAACGGACCTTTAATAACATGCATCTCACTTTGTCAAGAATGGTTCTGTTCATATTTTCAGCTAAACCATTTTGTTGTGGTATATGTGTGTGTCAGTTATGTGTCTCAGCATACCAGATAATTTGCACAATTCATTAAATTCATAATTGCAGAATTCAAAATCATTATCAGTTCTTAAAAATTTAATTTTTTTATCACTTTGGTTCTCAATCAAAACTTTCTATTTTTTGAAAACATTAAATGTGTCTAATTTTGATTTTAAAATAAAAGTCCAACTTTCTCTAGAAAAATCACCAATAACCAGCAAATAATATTTAAAACCAGAATGTGTACTCACAGATGCTGGTCCCCAAAGATCAATATGCAAATATTCAAGTATGGAGACAGATTTATGCATTCCAGACAGAAAAAGTAATCTATCATGTTTCTTAAAATGCAATAGTTACAAAATTTTAGTTTTTCAATGTTATCTTTACCAAAGACACCCTACTTTTTCAAAATCTAAAGACCTTTATCACTAATATGACCCAATCATTTGTACCATATTTGTGATTTGTCATTTGGAACTGAGATTACTGCTAAAGTGGAATCCAAAAGGTGTTTAGTTTGTAAAATGTATAGGCCATGTCTCTTAGTAGCATCTACAATTAAATGAGAGCCCCTCAAGATTTTAATGTTTCCCTTGTTAATCATAATGTCATAATTAAGGTCATCTAAAACCCCTACGGAAATCAGATTTCTTTGCAAGTCGGGAACATATCTTGTTTTTTCAAGAATCAATTTATTATTTCCTTTTACATTCAATGTGATAATTCCTATACTTTTTACTTGACATGTTGTGTGATTACCCATTACAACCTACCACCAGATACATTTTCAAACTCAGTAAACCATTCTTTATTAGAACACATATGGTAGGTGCATCCAGAGTCAAGAATCTACTCTTGGCAAGGTGGACAGCTTACGACAACATAAACTTTATCAATATTAGTCTCATTATAAGCCAACGCAGCACTACCATCATCTTTGGACTTGTTTTTAGAGTCATAAAGTCTTTTTAGGATACTCTTTAATAAAATGACCTTCTTCTAAACAATAGATTGATATAAACATTTTTTCCCTTTTGTATTCATTTTCATTTTATCCTTAAAGTTGCCTTTCTTTTTGTGTCTAGGTTTCTTATTTCAATTACCATTCTTGGAATTAAACTTGAACTTCATCATAAGGTTTATGCCACTAACAAACTCTTTCTTTTCGGATTTTAACTCTAACTCTTTAGTTCTTAAAGCATTCATGATCACATCAACAATTAGAGTT